TATGTAGCACTTATGTGGGTTTATATACAGTACCAATGGATAATAACCAACGTGATTAGTAATATCGGCTAGTATCAGAAGAGTAAGAATGACTCTTAGAGCTCTGGTACAGAGAAATGAATGACAGAGAAACCAGACAAAGCACAGTTGTGTGGCTTAAAGGAAATTTTAGTGATTTAAGCCTTTTTTAAAAAAGATATATTTTTAAACAACACAGAATAACAACACATTTTAACAAAGATTTGAAGTATATAAAATTTCCCCCAAAGTAGCAAAAAAATAAATAAAATTAAATTAAATTGTGCACAAGTAAAGAATGAGTCTTTTAGGTCCAAATGGTACCAGTGGGGCCCATGACAAATGGATGTATTGCAACAAAGTTCTGTCCAATGAGAAGTGTGTGCGTGTGTTTGTCTGTCCTACCGCATTACTTGTACAGTGCAGGATTGCAGTCCATCAATGTGCAAAAGAGTGTGCGCACATATGTGTATTGTCCACTAGAATCTCAGGTTGGCTCCAATGAACACTGGAATACTCCGGGATTTGGAATCGCTGAACTGGTCCTTGGATTCGTCCCAAATAAATAAGTATATCACTCCTTTTAAGAAATGGAATAATATGCAAAAAATTATCAGAAACTGAACAAAGTGCATATAATCAATTTCAATAACATGTAAACAGGTGACTTCAGTCTACGAATAGGAATATTAACATAGATGTGCTTCACGTACCATAGGCCTAATAGTACAAGTGGAAATACACTAAAAATTACCTCCACATATCCATTACTGAGCATAGTAAAATAACCAATTGACATCAAAACAGTATAAGGAAGGTGTCGCTCTGTCCTCTATGACAGCAAACACAAAACTGTACTTCATGAACAATATCAGTTTAAATGGTTTTTAACTTGTTAGAGGTTAATTTCTCCAGCTTACCGATAAAAAAGTTTTAGCCCACCTGCTCTGATCGGCTGTAGAAGCAAGACACTAAAACTTGGGAGCTGGTATTAAAGAGGGACAAGAGCTACCTAGAGCTTTACCGATTGGCTTACACGAGGGGAGTGGAATAAAACAATAGGCTCTCATCAGAGCTCATCAACACTTGGAAAAAAAACCCTCTTGTTTAACCAAAACACATATATAAATCTGCGTCCCTTTTAGGTTTACATAAATATATTGATTTTGTTTCACTGTCATTAAAGAAGGACTATTAAGAGCAGAAATAATAAACATGAAATTAGATGATTTTAGAAACTGGGTTACACCTATTTCTATATTTATCTATCAATATCTCTGTTTCTACACTAATTTTATATGAGTGCTTGTTGGTTATTGTATATTTGCTACTATGGCAACTCAGTTTACCTCTGGGATTAATAGTTTTTCAGATTCTGATACTGAGTTATAATTTTACTGAATTTACATTTGCCCTTAGCCAGCAGTTTTACATTTCCCTCAATGTCGCCTGCTCTTGCCCCTGAAAGACAATTGACTATGATTGCCAGTGTCTGTAGCTTCACATGTCTGAGAACAGAATCATCAATTACCAGAGTTTGACCCCCGGCGGGTGTGTCACCGAGTGGGGAAAAATGGTTAGACACATGAACAGGTTGGTGGTGTACCTGGACCTTTTGTTTAAGACAATGCTTCCTCCTCACCGTCACCCAGCCGCCCTCTTTCCCCAGCTGCTTGGGGTCTGCCGGGGAACAGCTAGCGGGGCCTACGCTATCTTCGGCTGCACCAGCTACAGGGGCCTGGCTAGCTATGGGTGAATGAAGGGTGCGAAGCCGAGTCTCCAATTCAGTAATCCTGGCCTCCAGAGCTGCAAATATGCTACATTTGTTACAAGTATCATTACTGCTAAAGGACGCAGAAGAGTAACTAAACATCTGACACAATGAGCAGGAAAGTGCAGGAGGGACACGTGAAGAGGCCATGCTGCTAGCGAGTGCGTTATAAGCTAAGCTAAGCTAGCAAAACAGTAAAGACACAGTGAGTGAATACTTTGGCTATAAATTAGGTAGTGAGTACACAGAAAGTGTGCTTTGGATGAAGTAAGTGAAGATTATGCTGTGAAATAAAATGTTATCTGTAAGTGTTTAATTAAATTGGCTGCACAGGTGAGCTACACAAATGGAACAGGAAGTGATAGTCTACCACAGAGAGAACCAACACCAAATGACAGCACCACATACTGTCTAACTGTGTGTCTGTGACACTCTGACTGTCTGTCTGTCTCTTTGTTTGTATGTCTGACAAACTCTTCCTGACTGTTTTTTTTTTGTCTGTCTGTCTGAATGTATCTGTTTGTCTGTAGGTCTGTCTCTCTGTCTTTCTGTTGGTTGGGCTATCTACCCGTCTGTCTGACTGACTGTCTCTGTCTTTCTGCAGCGAGAAGTGATGCAGTTCAGTCTCTGATGTCAGAGTTGAAGGTTTTGGTTCATCTCGGTCCTCACCTGAATGTTGTCAACCTGCTGGGAGCCTGCACGAGAGGAGGTCTCAGTTTACTCCTGATATAATCTTTGTTTAATCCCAAAGTGTTCTTCATATAACCCTAATATCATTCTTAAACAAATCCAGACATATCTCCAAAGGTTGATTTTGTTCATCTGGACGCAGCGTTTTCAGTGGGAGAAACAATTAGTCACTCATCCAATCAGAATCAGAATCAGAATCAGAAAGGGTTTATTGCCAGATGTTGAGC